TCAAGATCGTGCTCTTTCTTTAAGTCCAAAAAAAAATATCTCTCCACCTATTCAATTAGTTCCAAATGAACAACACAATTCAAACAGCCAATTTTCATCATTAATAAACTTCTCTATTGATACGCCTCAACAGGAATTTCCAAATCAAGTAATGGAAGAACCACAACCCAATCCACCAATTATTCGTGACAAAAATGCTTCATATAGAGAAACTTTTAAAAAACTTGGTCTTCCTTTTGTAGAACACAAAGAGATTCCTCAAGTACCAAAAAGAATTGTTAAGAAAGAAACATCAGAAGAAATAAGAATTTCTAAAGAACGTGAAGAAAGAATTATGTTTGAAAGACAAATTAGACAAGAATTATTACACATTTTTAAACGGTATGGTGTTATTATTCCAGTAGCAATTCCTGTTGATTTGATCAATGAGATTGATATTTCTTTAATAGAAGATAAACAAACTGCACAAATCATGCTAGATAGTGTCATTGAGAATTATCAACATCTCCATTGAATGTACCTAATAACTCAATTCATTGATTTAAAATTAAAACTAAACATAAATATTTAAATTTTATTGTCTTTTTACAATGAAAGTGGCATTTCTTCTTCAATTCTATCTGGACTAAAATAACTTTTCAATAATTCAATCTTTAAACGAGTAAACCCTTGTATCATTTTATCATCTGTTAATTCTTCTAGCATATCAATAATATTTGATTCTTCAAATGCATTACGGGATCCTATTTGTGGAGAAACATTGTCTTGTATCATTAAACATAAAATTGAGTCAACACAATTCAAAACATCATCAGATGTAAATAATGAACGATTTTTTAATACATAGATAATAGGTTGAACAACTCCAATAGATATCATTTTTTGCAACATATCTTGTCTTAACTTACACGATAATATAGCAGTAGTTAATGCCCAAACAGCATTTCTTGCAAATTGAATATTTTGCCGATAAACATAACGAATGAGATACTGAACTACACCTTTTTCTATCAGATAAATAGCGTGTGGATTTCCTTCTGGAATAAATAAATTTCTTAAAACCCACATTGCTTCTGACAAGATTGTATCAGGTGGTAATGATTCAAAAATAGAGAATAGTGTATCAATTAAACCATCATTTACAAAGACTTCAGTATAATCATCTGAACATCCAATGATTTGACCTATAACATGTAGTGCTGGTAATACTAATTTTTCTACTCCTGTCTTAAGAAATAATACTAATTTTGAAAGAAAATGTGTAAATTGATCAAAAAGAACAATATAATCAACTTTATATTCAATACATTGTGAAATACAAATAAGAAGACAATTATTACCTTCAATATTATCATCAGAAGGATCTAAATTCGAAGCTATATAAGGAAAAAATGATTGAAGAAATGTTGGGTTTTGTTTTGCAGCACGAGTAACAACAAAAAACAATGCCCAACAAACTGTTCCTAATACATTTTTGTCAATTCTTTTTTTATTTTCAATTAAATGGATAATTTCTAAAAATTTATTATAATCTTCAATATCATTTGAACGTTCAAAATAAAATCCAACAAGACGTAATGTTCTATCAAGTAAATCTGAATGGTTTGTTTGTGAAATAATTAATTGAGAAATATTCATTGTAGTATTTTTTAAATGAGGAACAAGTTTTTTTTGAGCAATAAGAACGAAAACTGTAATAACATGATATCGTAACATTATATCTTTCTACAAGAAATGAGTATTAAATTATTGTGAATACATAAACAAAACTTACAAACTGAATTTATAATCCATTTTATTAATGTTTCAATAAATATATCAAATTCATCAACTTCTGATGAAGCCTCAATAATTTCTTCTAACGTTAAAATAATATTATACATTTCTTTTAATGTAATTGATTGTAAATTCATTTTTTGATATAACTCTTTGCAGCCCTATTTCTTTGTAAATAACTTTTTCTTTTTACGTTTTAAAAAATTCTTTATTATTACAAACTACTTTTTTTGGTATAACCATCATCTGTTCACTTTGTAACCTTTTTGACTGAAGAAGTAATTGTCTTCTATTTTGTCTTAACCCTTCTCTTTCATTATGCTTTTCCTTTAGTATATCTGTTGTTCCTCTTAAATTCATAACAATTTAATAAATAAGATTTTCAGTTTTTTGTGGAGTTCTTTGAGATTTTAGAAGCAGAAGAATTCAAATACTTTTTCTTATATAATCGTTTTTAGAATAAAAAAATTTGAAACTTCTTTGTACCTTTTTTTTAGTTCTTTTCAAATTCTATGGATTCTGAAAATTCATTCAAATAAAATTCTTAAAAGAAAGGTAAATTACTCTTTACATCTACAAAAAAACAAAAAATGAAAATAAAATATAATCTTTCAAAGATTAAATAAATATAAAAACAAAACCAAAAAGATATAAACAATTATTGTTTTATGATAGTCCAAATAACACATTAATCCGGAATTTAATGAAATAAAGAAATTAAGAGAGAAAAAAATAAATTTAATAATTTTTGAGTAAATAGAATGATAAAACCACGTTTTTAAAAAATTAGTGATTTCATTATGTTAATTCTCTGTTGAAACTTTAATAGAAGTTCTTGCTCCTTCACTAGTCTTTGTTTCATGTTGTGGTTGTTTATTGAAATTGAAAAGGCTGTTGAGAATAAAGAAAAAAAACTTAGTGATTAAGTGAATCTTCTTCTCATAGATCCTTTTTACTATTTATTCATGCCGTTGAACTTTTCTATAGTGCTTTGTGAAAGAAAGGGTAATGCACTTAATTTTTATTTCATCACTACTAACACCCAAATGTTATAAATTTTTTATATTTTCATTAACTTTGTTCTTTTATGATACTCTTTATATGATCCCAGTGTCTGTGGTTTTACGATAACTCTTGTAAAAAAGTAGAAATAAACAATTACATTAATTCGTTGAATGAAGGAGTATAACCAAAGGACTTATATCCGATTAAAGGAGATCGCCTTGTTATTTGTTGTTGACTTATCTCAGGTCGTAAAGAATTTAACTGTTCTATTAAAATGACATTAGGTAATACTCCAGGAGAAAATACTTGAATATGAATTTGGCCTTTCTTAGATAATGGTAACCATAAGTCATTTACTTGTCCTTGGTAGAAATATGAAAGAGAGTGTTGAACACTTCCTAATGGATCGTCTCTTCCAACTGTATCGAAACTAAAGACTTCAAATGTTATTTGTTGTCCTGGGATAACGTCAAAAGTAAATGATTGATTAAATTTAGGATCACATGTTCTACGAGCAATGGCTGTTTTATGCATTTGTCCGTTTACACTTAATTTAATGTAAGGATCACTTGTTCCAGCAAAATAATCAGTCACTCTTAAATCTTTTGCTTCAATGATTCTCACTTCAACTTTCATAAAATAAATTGTTTTATTAGTTCTTTTTTGTTTTTTATAACGATAATAAAATAAACTGTTATTAAGAACAACATTATTTAAGTTTCATATAATTATATTATTTTTAAGTTAGAATGGTTAAATCATTTTACTCTGAATGAATAAGAAGAAGATTCTTTGATAAAAGAATCTTATTTCTTTATTTTGTTAATCAAAAGAATTATTAGCAAATAGGTACTAATTATCAAAACCAAAGAGTGTCTTTTGTTCAGGTAAATAAAGTGTTTATTTTATATATCATTTCTTTTTATGTAAACCACATTATTCTAACTCTGACATGACAAACAGAATAAAATAAGATTAAAAACAGCTAGTTAATGAGTTTAACTCAACTATTATCATCACTTAATCATATCATATGTTATTTTTTTTAATGACAGATAAATAAATGTAATAAGTCTAATTTCTTTCTAACTAAAACCTATAAGTTTTATTTATTTTCAAAACCAAATTCATTCTACTCTTTATTGTAGTTAAAGTGAGTTTAAATAAATGTAGCTAGATACCTTTCTTACAACACTCTTTTATATCAACTTTATGACAAAACAGCTTTCAAGTATTTAATAATAACTGATATCATTGATGGTTTTGGCTCATTGATAAAGATTGTATTATTTCATTAAATTAAACATTAAGAACTAACTAATTAAGATGAACTTAAATTAATGATTATATAGAATACACTCTTTAAACAAACCAAATACGATTTAGCAATTATTTCAATAATTGCCTATTACTTGTTTATTATTTTCAAGTGGTAAGTGTATTATATTTTTTTAATTTTGGGTTATTGTTTAAAACAGTGATACAGCAGAATATAGAAATGAGATATTAGGATATGTGCCAATCAAAAGGTATATTCAAGACTTAACTAACTTGGATTAGAGGTAAAAAGAGGATGTGTTATATATACAAAGAATAAAATAAAAAGAAGAGAAAAAACCGTTTATGAAATATAGAATAATATAATAAAAAGTAATATAAAATATAGTAATAAATATATTCAATAAAACTCCACAAAAATTACAATTTTTCAGAATATTTTATATATATTTCACAAGAAAAACAAAGGAAAAGAAGGTTCTAAAATAAATAGTTCAATAAAAAATTCACAGTTTCGAAATAGAAGTGAAACAAAGAAGAAATAGGTAATATCCCGATAAATTAGAAGAAGAAAGAATTAATAAAGTTCAATAAAAGAAAGAAGATTCCACAAAAAAATGATATTTAAACAGAACTTAAAGATTAATTA